AGTCAATTAAGTCATACAAACTTTACATTGTCAGCATAGCTCAGTTGGTAGAGCTTTGGCTACTAATTCTAAAGGCCCTGGGTTTGAATCCCCGTCGCGTCACTTTTTTTAAAACTTTTTTTCACATTAATGATCACCTATGTGTATTTATATTCAAGCATATACACGCATTTAAAATTAAGCATGAATTTGCAAATAGTAATTCATCAGCTAGGCTGAATTATTAGTCGTATCATAAAGGTTATTTTGTGTGTTTATTAGTTGTTCATCAATGTAAAAAAAATACAGTGTATTATATTAAACAGTATTTTATTATATTAATATTAAATGTATTTTACAACATTGTCTTAAATCTTCCTTTTATTAATATAATAAACCCTTCATATAGTTCTTTATACTAAAAATTTTAACTATCAATAAGTGCAGATAAATTTTTTATTTTAAATTAAGAGTTTATAAAAAATAATTTTAAATATAATAAATAGTAAAATATTAATTATAAATATAATTATATAAAAATTTTCTGTTTGATTAAGCTAAAACATATAAAATAAAATTATTATGTTTGTGTAAATTCATTTATATTGTGTATTTTTATATAAAATAATAAAGATTAATGATTGTACATAAAAATAATTTAGCATTGCAATTTAAAATGACTATGTTGCAATTTAGGTAAAATAGTACATTTATAGCATATTTTAGCAAACAGTTTTTGTATAGTAACTAAGAAATAAATTACAAAATTTAAAATTATTCAAACAAATGTTTTAAATTATATAATTATTTTAATTTATTCTTGATTAATCTCGACTACTATATTTAATACAAGATGCTATCTGTTAAATTTTGTATCTCAATAGTAATTGTGTATTTAATGCATACATTTTTAATAAATTTGCCCAAATATGTGCTTAAAGGTCAGTAAGGTTATAATTGAAGTACCCGGTACCTCATAAAATATGCATTTGTTTTATTTTATTAATAATTAAAATTAAATTACATGTTTAGTACATTCACGCTTACCGTGCGTTCACAGGGATTACGGAAACGGAGGGACAGTCTGTGTGTGCGATGAAAGCCATTGCGACGACTTGGAGGCCATTCACAGGACTGACAAACAGGTGGTCACTGTTTACGAGTCGTCCAGAAGTGGCCATCGATTGGACAAATCTGTACTTAATTTTGGTCAAAAGTTTATAACTAAAGCAAACAAATCGGTGACAATAAATGTGGACAAAACTAAACCCTTATATCAGGCAATCATAGGGTTTGGGGGCGCCTTCACAGACGCCGCCGGTATTAACATTAAAAGTTTGCCACAAATACTGCAAAAGCGGTTAATTGAGGACTATTTCGGGGAAACGGGTATTGAGTACACATTGGGTCGGATACCGATCGGGAGCTCAGACTTCTCCACACATGCCTATAGCTATGACGACAACTATAAAAATGATTTCCAATTAAACCACTTTAATCTAACGGAAGAGGATTTTGATCTTAAGGTTAGTATTTGTTTATCATTTTTTATTATTTTAAAACTTTCAAGTAATTAATTTCTGTATAAATTAAGATACCCTTAATTAAAGAGGCTAAAAAAGTGAGCAAGCACAATTTACGACTTATTGCTAGCCCATGGTCAGCACCGGCCTGGATGAAAACTAATTCAGAATTAAACCATGGTGGTTTTCTAATAGGTCAACCTGGAGGAAAATATTACAAGGCATTTGCTAATTATTTAGTCAAGTATGTAATGTTAAAATAATACCAATTTTTGATACATTAAAAATAGTTTATTATTCTAATAAAATTACAGATTTCTGAACGCCTATAAAGCACAGGGAATACCCGTTTGGGGCATAACTATAGAAAACGAACCCGAGATGCCTATGTTTTTTGACAACATTCTAGGCATAAAACATCCGTTCAATAGTATGACATTCACTCCCGAACTGTACCGGGATTTCCTGAAACTAGACTTCGGTCCCATTATGTCTGCCGCCGGTTATGGGCCTAACGTTACCCGAGTTATGATTTGTGACGATAACAGGCCATACATTAGCCAATGGGCTCAAGTCATATACGGAGACATAGAGGCGGCTCAATACGTGTACGGAATGGCTTTTCACTGGTATATGAACAGTGAAAGCAATGTGGGCAATTTGGACATTGTGCACAATCAGGATCCGAGCAAGTTTATTTTGAGCACTGAGGCGTGTGAAATGTGGTTGGGTATGGATCACCATGTTCATTTAGGCAGTTGGAAATTATTTGAAAAGTACGCCACTGACATAATTACGGTAGCACACTATGCGTTCACATACCTGTGATTAAAAAAATACAACTAAATTTTTGTTGATCATGACTTGAATCACTGGACCGGGGGTTGGGTTGACTGGAACTTGGCTCTGGACACTAGGGGTGGACCCAATTGGGTGAATAACTTCGTTGACGCGCCGATTATAGTGAACGCTACGGCCCGGGAGTACTACAAACAGCCGTCGTTTTACTCGATCGCACACTTCAGTAAATTCCTTCCGCCCGGCGCTCAACGCCTGAACCATACGCTCGCAGTCGACGGCCCGACAGATGCGGACACTCTGTTGACCACCAGTTTTGTCCGCACAGACGGCGGGAC